CATTGTAGAGAAGGATTTTTAGAGCTAAAAATTGCTTCACATAAGCTTTGTCTTTTTCTTTTCTCCTTGTTTTGGAATGGCAGATGGAATTGATGGTTACTAGGAAAGTTTGTTCACTATGCTGTGCTAAACAGTTTTTCTCACCAGAATCCATATTGTATATTTATAAGTTTACTATTCATCTCTGCATTGAATATTACAGCCACATCATGTCTGCTGTTCCAGTTCTCAAAAATCTTGACAAAATCCAATGTTATTGGTCCTGACCTGGCATCTCAGTTTTTTTCATGACAATTGTTCTGATGAGCTTTCTTCTTTGGTACCTCAATTTCACATATTTAAACATAGTACTACATTGGCAGCTAGGTCTTATAATTTTACTGTTCTATAGTAACAGTTTTTTTCTCACACTTCTCACTTGTGGAAATCTTTTCTGGCTTCCTGTTTTCCTGTGAACTTTTGTCTCTAAAAACTTTTGTCTCTTGGAAGCCTGTTCTTTTATTTTTCTTTCTCATCACTGGTGTTTTTCATTTTCTTTCACTCTCAGGAAGCTTTTGCATCTCATTGGTTTCATCTCCTTGCTTCGGGTGAAATGATTAAAAACATCTAATGATTGAAGGTTTTAGTGTTTCTTGTACAGGGTGAGGCAGAAATACCTCCCACATTTTAAAGGTTGACAAAAAGACCAAGGAACTGCTATTAAAAAAAAATATATATTTCACTGTTCTTTTAACAAAAGTCTACACTTTTTATTCAGTTAATTTTAAAAATGACAACCTATGGCAATCATCATGACACACACATACACCCTTACAAATTCAAATCTTCAACAGCATTCATTCATTGAACAGGAAGCAACGCTTCTATCTTATGTGACAATTTTAAAATCGCTATATTTTCATATAGTAGATTTTGTGCACTTTTGGGACAATCGGCTCCCAGAAGACTCCCCAATGCTCATGCACTGATCAGTCAGTATCAACCAATCAGATTCTCTACATGTGGAGAATGATTCTTCTCACTCAGCACTCCTGATCCAATGACCACCTATAAAAGCAAAAGAAAAGAGGAGACTCACCAGTGAGACTTTAGCTGCCGCAGAAATCCACGACAGTTGAAGCTGCTATGCCCCAATCTTCTCACTCAACTCACAAACTGCATATTCTTTCACACTTACATAATTTTTCGTCTTGCATGGCAGAACTGTTTAAAAACATTTCTAACAGACTAATGAATTTCTTTTCTTTCAGAGAACTTTAATAGACTTTGATAGTCAAAGAGAGACAACACTCGTCTTACTCATTGCATGCTTTTTCGTACACATTCTTTATTGTATACATTGTTGAATACAATTTTTATATATATTGATACCTTTGCCTTGTCCCTTTCTTCCCATCGGTTTGGTTTCCTAATCAAAGTTAAATAAATGTAGTGGAAGTCTGCAACATTTCATTGGTAACCCTGACGTTCATTTGGAAGTCCGCCACAAACCTCCAAATGATGGCCTGTAAATGAATTCTAAAGTTTTACATCACCTGAAAATTTGAGCACTTCAAAGTCATCCACGTGGCTTTCTTTTAAGCACTGAACATGCGACCCTGAAATTTTAAACCTATTGCCTTATCGATTTTCTATCTAAAGCTGTGACGTCGTCCCCCCTGGTCGCAGCGTCGACTGTGTCGTTCGATCCCGTTTGCGACGCCAGCTGTTCGCTCCTCGCTGCTCCAAGTGTGACGTTCTAACCCTTTGGTTAGATGAATACCAGCCTCGTCGTTCCCAACCCGCTTCCAATGCCTGGTTACCAGGGTAACTGCACTGATCTCCGGTCTGCCTACCCACGTTGTGATTAGATCTTAGACAGACGGGATCAACAGGGATTGGGCCGTATGCAAGCTGAGTCCAACGGGGGTGATAACACAAGAAAAATAAAAACTCACAAGGTCAAGAATATTGAAGAAAAGGTAACAACTTTTTATATCTATTTGCTCGTTACACAAGATTATTCCTACCTCCCGACCCGTTCTGTGGACCGTGGCACCAAGCTTCTACCATACAACTTTAAGGCTTCGAGTTGCTTGCTCTCTAGAAATTTGCATTTCGGGGTGTGGTTTGGTTTCAACACTGGGCGCTGATCTCTACCTGTCGTTCACGGCTGATTTTCTCTCGCCGTCCGTGGCTGCAACTAACTCTCTCTTCAGAGTCTGAATTATTGTTCACTCATCTCCGCTGTCAGTCGCGCCGAATTAACTTCTTCTCTTGACCCGGTTGGACGAGCTTATTCACTTCGACTTGGGTTGGACGAATTTCTCTTCTTAGGCTTGGTTTGATTCCAACTTCTCTACTTAGGCCAAACGGGCTGCTTCACTTCGGCTTCTCTTGCCCGCAAGGGGGCGAATGTCAGGTGACCGCTCTCGACCAATGGGGTCCTGGTCGGGTGTCTCTCCTCCTCCCTCATGTATCATGTGACCGCCTTCGGCCAATGAGACTCTGGTTGGTATCTTTCCTCCTTCCTTCATGACGTCTTTAATCGGGCGTGGACAATCCGTGGCTTTGTTCTGGGGGAAGAAACACCTTGTTTAAAAAAACAAAAACTTAAACTGCCCTTTTTTCAGACGTGACCGAAATGACGCACGCAGTATTTGTCAAACAGCCTATCGCTAATTGGATACGATCTAAGAAAGGGATTTCTTAGACCTGTCGGCGTTTCTCTGAACGCAACAAAATATTTCATTCTCCTCCGGCCGATAATAAAAATCTGTATTATCTCAAAAAAGCATTTTCTAATCATCATCTTGTGTGGCTGTATTTTCAATTCTGGAATTGTCTGGGTTCTCGTATTAATGGATTGTCTGTATATCCTTAGATAAACTTCCCACCTGTTACCTATCATATTTTTTTCATTGTCTCAACTTTATTTCTTCAACCAAATTGATAACAAACTTCCATCCTTCGTGGACACGGAACTAGGTCAGGTACTTGACCTGATATTTTTGACATCTGATAATTGCCAGTCGAACGTGTGTGTTTTCGCTTACGACCTGGTTTCGTATTATTTATTTTTCTCCTTTCTTTCCTCTTCCTCTTCTATTCTTTCTTTCTCCCAGATCGCCTGAAACTTAATTAAAGAATTATTCTCAACCCTGAAATATTTTCAGCTCTAAATAATTATCAAATGGTTAACAAACCGAAAAAACAAATCATATATTTATGAATATCTCTTTTCAGTTTTCTAATTATGCATGGTGCCACAAAGCAGCATCATGCCAACATAACATGAAATGCACACAAAAAGGTCTTATAATTTTACTGTTCTATGCTAACAGTTTTTTTCTCACACTTCTCGTTTGTGGAACTTTTTTCTGGCTTCCTGCTTTCCTGTGAACTTTGGTCTCCAAAAATTTAAATGTAACATAATTTGTTATCTTTTGTCTCCTTGAATCCTGTTCTTTCATTGTCCTTTCTCCTCACCTGGAAGTTTGAGCACTTCAAAAAATTTTCTTTTAAGTGCTGATCTTGTGACCCTGAAATTTTTCATCCCATTTTCATATCGATGTTCTATCTAAAGTAGCATTATTCCAACATAACATGAAATGAACACAAAAAGCTCTCTGTGTTGTAATTACAGATTCATGTCTTAAAAATGTTTCAACAGAAAATGCACAGTGTGCACTGGTCCAAGCCATGATGGTAACTGATGGTATCTGATGGTTTGGTTTGGTTTGTTTTACGGCATGTCAATACCTCAATGGGTTATTTAATGATGACAAGATTTTTATTGCTGGTAATATTTTTATAATTTAACATAATATTATTTTTGGTTTGAAGTCAAGTACGGTGCCTTTCTTAAGGATGTTCATCTTTACATCAAGAAACTTATTTGATCCTTTAGTTGTTTGGTTTGATTTGTTTTACGGCATATCAACACCTCAATGGGTTATTTAATGCCGACAAGATTTTTATTGATGGTAATATTTTTATAATTTAACCTAATATTATTTTTGGTTTTAAGTTAAGTACAGCGCCTTTCTTAAGGATGTTCATCTTTACGTCAAGAAACTGATTCGATCCTTTAGTTGTTTGGTTTGGTTTGTTTTATGGCATATCAACATCTCAATGAGTTATTTACTGCTGACAAGATTTTTATTCTTGGTAATATTTTTTTATCAAAAAGTATTTCTAGTAATATTTTTTTTTTTAAATTAATTGCTAGTAATATTTTTTTTTCAAAAAAACCATTGTTGGTAATAATGTCTAGCTGATAATAATTTTTTCTTAAAAAATATATTGCTTGTAATAATTTTTTATAAAAATGTATTGCTTGTATTAAAATCTATTTTTACACTTTCATAGTGTTTTGACCCCAGTTTTGGTGGGGGGGGGGATAGCTATTTGCCCATAGCTGGGACCCTTAGAGGTGCTACCACCCTGCGTCAGGGTGGACCTGGGAACACCAGCAGTTAAGAGGTGGTTCCACGCTCCTCAAAACCTCTTGATCAGAGGCCTTGCTGTTGGATGTGATTTTATCATCATACCCAGGATGGGATGGTATCTGAAAAAAATGGTTGGACATTAGTTAGATGGAGACACCATTACCACTTATCTAAGTTCACTAGCACTACTCAGGTGATAATTTAAAACGTGGGAGGTATTTCTGCTGCACACTGTTTTAGAATTCACTTGCAATCCTCTTTCATTTCATATTTCCTTCATATAGGATGGCAATAATTTGGTTGGTTCCACAGAAATCTGACTCATCCCAATGGAAATTACATCAATCTACAAGAGTATATCTACTTATTTGCTTTTTCCTATTCAGACAAGGTTAGCTTAAAATAAAAATGGGGATATGCAATGTAAGGCAGGATGTGTGAGGGCAAAAAGAGTATTACATTAATTTCCCTTCTCTGCCCAGCAATGACATATTTTGGAGAAAACAAAAGGAATAAGGTATAGTTTCTGAGCGTTATGGAAGAAAGAAAGGAAGAAAGTCGGTTGGTCGGTCACTCAAATAGAGGTCGGTTGGTTGAAGAGAGGTCGGTCGGTCGGTTGAAGAGAGGTTGGTCAGTTGAAGAAAAGTCAGTTAGTTGAAGAGAGGTTGGTCGGTCGAAGAGAGGTTGATCAGTCGGTCGAAGAAAGGTCGGTTGGTTGGTCCAAGAGAGGTCATAGGTCTGAATCCCTTGATACTTAGGATCAACAAAAAGCAGGATAGTTTTCTTTTTCTTTTTTTTTTCTTTTTTTTTTTTGCCAGACTTACTTTATTTCATTTCATTTCAAACCAAGTATGGGTAATCATTCATTTTATTTTATTCCCCCACCCCCAAAAACATTGTATGGTGCATTATAAATTTAGCAATACCCATTAAACTTTTTACTCTAATTATCAAGAATTAAAAAAACACACGCACACAAAGAAGTAATTCACAACCCAATAATTTATTCCATTAAACCTAGTGTAAAGTGTTGGTCTGTGAATTTGGTGACATAATTGTGAGCTTTGGGTAGGTTGGTTGGTTGGGTTTTATGGCATATCAACCACTGTAGGTCATTTAATGCTAAATTAGGTTATATATATATATATATATATATATATATATATAGTACTATTAAACGTATAGCTGGCAACATTATTTTTTCAAAAACGTATAGCTGGCAACATTATTTTTTCAAAAACATTATCAGAGGCCTTGCTGTTGAACGTAGTTTATCGTCATACCCAGGACACTGATGTAGCTTATCGGCATACCCAGGACACGGATGTAGTTTATCCTCATTCCCAGGACGTGGATAAGGTCTGGAAAAAACTGGGAGTTCACTATTTTCCCATAGCTGGGACCCTTAGAGGTGTTACCACCCCCGGTCAGGGTGGACCTGGGAACACCAGCAGTTAAGAGGTGGTTCCACGCTCCTCAAAACCTCCTGATCAGAGGCCTTGCTGTTGGATGCAGTTTAATGTCATACCCAGGATGGCTTTGGGTGGGGTGTCACTCACTCACATCATAGCAGCAAAAATTAACCTTGTGTTCTCAGAGATAAAAGCATACTGGACAGGAAATAAAATGTACAGAAATAACAATAAAAGCATGATAAATTGTATGGTAATTTCATACAATTTATTTTTTATATGTATTTTTTTAGGTTACAATTGTTTCATGGTATATATAATGATAGGAAGAAGTTACTCTATATTATTACATGCCATATCACAGAGAGAAATTAGACACGTTTTGCCTGTATGAAGGCTTGTAGTGAAGAGATTGAATTTAACGTCTTTTGATTGGATGTCTGTATTTCTGCCAGGAACAGTTTTTGTTGCATGCTGGGAGTATTTTTATTTAATTTACTTTAAATCAGGTTTAAATATTATTTTTGTATTTTATTTATAAAATAATATTCTTATTTTATATTTTATTTTTATTTATTTATAATAATGATGTCCCTACAAGTTCAATCCCTGCAGTGTGTACTCAGTGGAAATGGAGCAAGAAATAATTGTGCAATACTAAAAAAATAAGAACTAGACAAAATATCCCTAGACATGGGCAGTGGAACAAGAACTGTTTTACCCCTGTAGATTAAATAAAAAAAGGTTCAGTTCTCATCCCAGAAATTTAGATAAAATAGATAAAATAAAAACAAAAAACAAATAGTATATAGAAATTAAAAAATAAATGTATGATTCCCAAATATCATGCAATGCAAGGGAGATAATTTTGAGTTACTCATGGTTTAGGTTATCGCCCTTATTTTCACATTTCGTCGGAGTAAATTCTAATTTTCATGATAGTGGGTTGACTGACTTACTCAAAGGGGAAAACAAATGAGATTCATTAAGATTCGTTATCTCTGTCTTCCAATTAAAGAGGGCCTATCTGACTAGATGCAGCATCCGAAATCGTGTATGTTATCTGGGATCGAATATATATTTTTTTTTAATTTTGATTATTTTTTTATCCATTCTTCTTCTTCATGAACTAGCTTGCAATTCGTTCATGCTATTGGTGACTACTAATGTAACTTTGTTCCAGACTAAACTTTGTAAACGTGTAAAAATAAAATTACCAATGACTCTTTGGTGTTCACAGGAGAAGAAAAAAAAGAACAAACATATACCAATAAAAAGATAAATGGATTAAAGTTGCAGTTGAAAGTAAGTTTTTTTTAATCAAATTACTCCAAGCAAGGCGAGAATGCCACTAAGACGCAAGGGGCTACCGGAAGTGAAAGAGAAGGAAAAGACATTGGAAGGAACCAGAAACCCAACAATAGTATAAATTTCAGAGTTTAGGTGGAGATGTTAGAAATATAGAGTTGAAGTAGAATTTAGAAGGAACTAGAAACATATTCTCCTGAACAGGAAACAAAGAATAAACCTCTATTTCTGTTCTAAAGACCGGGTAGGAGTGTGAATAAATACAAAATAAAGTCTATTTAACAAATAAGTTAAACAGAATTTGTGAAAATGAATTATACTTATAAAGGTAGGTACCCCTCCCCCACCCACAAAAAAGTGGTACCTAAATTTAAAATTTTAAGAAATGAAAAATTTTTTTTTTTATGTTTTAATTTTAATTCCAAGCTAATAAAATTAAATTTAATATTCCCAATGAGCAAAATACTTTGGTATATTTCAGACTGAATTTAAATTGATTAGAATCTTTTTTTCTACTTATCAGTAAAATCTATAAATTTGTCCATATTGACAGATCTGTCAACACAAAATAATTCACTTTATTAAAAAAATCTTTCAAAAATAAAATATAATTTTCTGAAACATTTGAGAAGAATTAAATGATTTACAGTTTAATTAATCTAAATTGAAAGAAATATTACTTACTTTTAGTTTTAAAATATCACAGAAAATTATCTTTTTAATATGGTGTGCATGTTTTTATGCAATGTTGAGTGATAAATTGACATACTGTTGTTTAATAAGATTCAGTAAAGTAGATATAATTGAAAAATTAATTGAGGAATAGAATGTGAATGCTTTTTTTATATAATCTTTTAATTACCCAGTAATCTTAAGAATTTAAGAAAATATTTTAAGCAATCTAATATTTTATTGAATTTTAGGTGTTTTGGCTTACTTATGAAGATGTTTGTTCAGAAAATGTTAGAAAATTACCAATAAATTTTTAATCTCTTAATGTCTAATAATAGTGTGTCTGGGTGTCTATATTTACAAAAATCAACTATTTTATACATAAAAAATATTCAAAATTATTTTTAAAATAATGGGGGGTTGTTGAATTGTAATGAGCTTTTCAATTTATGATTAATAAATAAAATTTTAATTTAATAACAATATCACTTGACTGCTACAAATTAATACTGAATTTTTAAAAGATGTAAAACTTTATAAATTATTTTAATTAAAATTTAAAAAAAAATGAAAACAATTCCTGTAAAATTTAATTATTTACTGAAAAATAAACTTTTTTAAAACAGTGTCCATAATATATTTTATTCTTAAAGGTAATTAAAAAATTTTCTAATTAAAAAAATGTCTTTGTGTTATTGCATTTTTTTATTTTATAATTCAGGGGAAATTTTCTGTAACTGGGATTATTGATTGATCAAAAAAATTTGATCATTTAAATTATCTGAGGAATTGTTTTTATAACAAATATAAATATTAAGGAATACAAAAAAAATTTCTCAAAATCACATAAAAGTTTAATGTGTGGGTGGGTAACAGATGTAAAAAATAAAGATTTTTTCAACAAAGATTTTCTAAAAAAAGAAACATTTAAAAAATAATTTAATTCATTTATGAATAAGTCCTAACGTTTAATTAAAATTTGACAATTATCTGATTTTGCAAGAATTTCTAATTCAATGTGTTTTTCACTGAAAAAAATGCTCAAATTTCCTGTACAAAAATGTTTTTTTCAAAATTTCAAAAGTTTTAAAAATGATAACAAAAAATTATTTTTATCCAAAATTTCAAAGGTTCTAAAAATGATAAAAAATTTTTTTAACCAAAATCTAAAAGGTTCTAAAAATGATAAAAAATAATGTTATTTTATAATTTATTTTTTTAATTAATTTATTTTTTTTATTTCAAAGTTTCTAAAAATGAAAAAGAAAAAAATTTTTTATCCAAAATTTCAAAAGTTCTAAAAATTTCTTTTTAAAATTTTCTTTTTTTTATAAAAAAATCCTTTGATCTTTTCTCTTGAAAATAACAAAAATTTTGATTATATAATTTTGTTTTTATTATGTTTTGTAAATTTTTTCATTATGTGATCTGTTTTTAGTGAAATTTTGACAGTATCAATCTAAAAGCCATATTCTGTCTCTAATGTTTGCATTAATACTTAACAATTGACAAAGGAAAGTAAGTCATGTTTTAAAAATATTTCTAAAACATCACTTACTCACTTTAATTTATTAGACATTGAATTGTGTCACTGTGTCCTCCATAGCTTGCTTGACATTTCAGTTAACCTGATGAATATTCATGAGCATTCTTAAACTTAAAAATATTGAAAAAGCAATAACATTTTGCTTGTCCTTTTACAGATATATTCTATCTGAAATTTTTGCATACACACACACACACACACATATATATATACATACACACATATATATATGTATATATATATATATGCAAACATTTCAGTTAGAATATATCTGTAAAAGGATACACACACACATATATGTATACACACACACATATATATATATATATATATATATATATATATATATATATGCAAACATTTCAGTTAGAATATATCTGTAAAAGGATACACACACAAACACACATATATGTATACACACACACATATATATATATATATATATATATATATATATGCAAACATTTCAGTTAGAATATATCTGTAAAAGGATACACACACACACACATATATGTATACACACACACACACATATATATATATATATATATATGCAAACATTTCAGTTAGAATATATCTGTAAAAGGATACACACACACACACATATATATGTATACACAGACACACACACATATATATATATATATATATATATATATGCAAACATTTCAGTAAGAATATATCTGTAAAAGGAAACACACACACACACATATATGTACACACACAGACACACACACACATATATATATGAAAAGTTTTAGCCAGAAGAAATAAACTACATCCAATTTCAAAATTTAATTGCATAATCCCAACTC